TAATGCATTTTCCAGTTCAGTTCAGCTTAACAAGCATTTTTTTAAAAAACATCTTAAATATACAAAGATTAAAAAGACACGGCCTCTGCCCCCAAGGACTCGGAGTTAAGTGGGAGCAAGAGAAATAGGAAAAGACATTTTGAAGGTAGTATGACAAGCACCAAGCAGAGGCGAATGGACCGTGATACTAATGAGGCCTAAGCTCTCACATCCACAGTCCCTTCTGTGAAAGAAAGTTCCTAGTGTAGGGGCTAAGGGCAGGCCATCCCACCATGGGCCCCAGAGGCATGAACATTATTCTGAGTTAAAAGCAATCAAAACCCAGCAGATTCAAGGAAAAACTGTTTACCTTCCCCTCAACTGCCTGCTTATACCAGGAAGAGAGCTATTAACAGAGGACACCCCCCCCCCTTTATAGGAGAAACGTATCTACATTTTCCAAATATCTCTTCTAGACTTCCTGTTAATGGTCCTTCTTCCCTTTCTCCCATTCATATCCCCGGATCGCTGCCCCTCTCCTTAGCTCACCTAAGCGTCATGTTTCGAATCTTTGGAATTTCCACGTCTGTGTGGATTCCTCATACCTATGTATGTATACTATTAAATTTGATTTTCTCCTGTTAATCTCACATCACTTTGAATCATACTCCAACTGGAAGGATCTTGAAGGCCAGAGGAAAATCTTCCTCCCCGGCACTGGCAAGATGGTATGATCATAAGCTTTTGTGGTTACAAAATTAAGATAATTGTGTACTCCCTTTTATTTGTTCACTTATTTATTTATTTGAGAGAGAGAGAGCACATGCATGTGAGTCGGGAGGAGGAGAGGGGGAGGAAGAAAGAATCTGAAGGTGAACCCCAATATGGGGCTCGATCCTGTGACAGCAAGATCATGACCTGAGCCGAAATCAAGAGTCGGATGTTCAATGGACTGAGCCACCCAGACACCCCTGTGTACTCTCTTTCTTGAGAATGACACCCAAACTGTCCAGGCTCCACAGCCTATGCTATCAGAGATCAGTCCTGATGCTACTCTCCTGTTTAGAGGAAACAGTGGATGGGAAATTCCCCCTCAAACCTCACCCACAGTAACCACAATACAGATACCTTGTAATACAAGTGACATGTCCACACCATTACGATGCTGCTGCTATCAGTAAAGACCTTAACCCCCAAAGGGTATGTTTTTTCAACGCAAAATGAGGACAGAATTTAATGAAATAAATAGTCAAAGCTCCATCACTGGTCATTGACCCTATCATAAGAACTGGCTTGGCCATCTTCAAAAATCCCTGAACATCACTAACAGAGCGGTTTTTGTGCAGAGAAGTGGGCAAAATGTTAACTTTCTGAAGTGGAAAATTTTTACATAAAGATGAGGCAAAGTAATTTATAGCACTAACTTGGACGTTATAGAACTTAGAATCAATAAGCCTTGGGAACTCCCCAAATCTATCTATATATAAAGCATATTGATAGCTGGTTAGACACAAGAGAGAATTGAGATATATTTATATACACACTTACGCACATATGTGCGAGCTTAATTATGTCAACCCAACTTCCAGGCGTACAGATAACTCCACCCAAAACAACATGCTGCTTGCCCACGTCTCCCAGAACTTAAGGTAGCGAACTAAAGACTCAAAACTCCATTTCCTCTTTATTGCCATCCTTAAAATTCCCAGTTTGATTTATAGAGGATCAAGAAGAGAATTAGATCTATAGAAGTCATTATTTGTTAGATGAAAAAGAAACAAAAAGTAGCCAAGGCAACCGTAGGTCAATCGTGAACATCTTTAGTTTCCGGTTAAGTCATGCTTTAGGATTACTGTGGGAGATTCTAAGGGCTGCCACCTCCTGCTCACAGGAACTAGGCCCTTCTGAGAAAACAGGGACTGTTTCCTGTTATCTTTGTTGCTTCTAAAATGGGCCCAACAGAGGGGCCTTGGGCTGGCTCAGTGGGTGGAATGTACAACTCTTGATCTCAGGGTTGTGAGTTTGAGCCCCACATTGGGTGTAAAGATTACTTCAAAATAAAACTACCGTTAGGGACGGCTCAGTGGCTCAGGTGGTTGGGCATCCAACTCTTGATCTCAGGAGTTCTCAGATCCTGACCTCAGGGTTGTGAGTTCAAGCCCTCCACGGGTGTGGAGCACACTTTAAAAAAAGGTGGGGGGGTGGGGAGCCTGGGTGGCTCAGTTGGTTGAGGGGTTGTCTCCGGCTCAGGTCATGATCCTGGAGTCCCAGGACCGAGTCTTGCATTGGGCTTCCTGCTCAGTGGGGAGCCTGCTTCTCCCTCTGACCTCTCCCCTCTAATGCTCTCTCTCATTCTCTCTCATCTAAATAAATAAAATCTTTTTTAAAACTACAAAAAATATATATTTATTTGTGTCTAATATAAATATAAATATATATTTATAATATAAATAAATACTTTAATTTATATAATACATTTATAAAATATTATAAATCTATAACTATATATTTTATAATTATAAATTATATAAATTTATAATTATATATCATTATAAATATATAATATATAAAATTAAAATATATTTATAATATAAATAAATATATTGTGTATAATATAAATAAATATAAAAGTGGGACAGGTAGCTGTTCCTTCCACTACCATTCCCCACCATTCTACCTCCTTTCTTCCTGCCTGTTCCCATTTCCTTTTCCCAAGGCTGGCTTGTAAAGCTTTTAGCACTCTTTTTATTCATCCAGAAAAATGTTTAATAAGCATCCGAAGCCAGTTGGCAATGTTTTTGCCATTTTGTCTCACCCACACAAAAAAAACAAAATTGTTTTAATTCCTCTTCTGGGGGATGCCAGTGAGAGATACAAAGTTGAGTAAAACCCTTGTGTTCTGTCTCAGCTCCCCATGGGTCCCATCTATGTTGTAACGATGTTATCGTGGGCTTCTCCAATCTCTACCGATCATTCAGACAGCTCCTTTAGAGCAATGTGGTGTGGGAGTATCCTCCCAGGCCCTTCTCAAGCAGAGAGCTTCTCATGTGGTAAGCATGCTCAGAAATTATCTGGGAAGGAGGGGGGCTCATTTCTTAGCTTTCATTCTGGTAAAGAGCATTCAAGAGGATATTCCCTTCCTTTTTAGAAGATACTTCCAGGGGTATCCGTTGCAATGTTCCAGTTTTTGAAAAATCACGTCTTTAAAAAATCAATTCTAGGCTCGATCCTAACCAGCCATGTGATTTTAGGCAACTCGACCTCTGTGAAGATCAATTTTCTCCTATGTAAAATGGAGATAATATATTTCTTTTCTTTTGGAAATAATGTATTTCTACCTCCCTGAAAATCTCTGAAAAAGAAGTAGAAGATAATGTATGCAAAACACAGTATCCTTCACCTAATAAATATTCAAACAATGTTGCTCTAATTGTTACTGACATAATATGCAGAGTATAATGCCTGGTAGAAAGTTCGATATTCTCACTGTTATTACCTGTGTTTATCACCAGGCACTTAGGGGCCTCTGTTTGACTAAAAATGCATGACACAGTCCTGTTTCAAGGTTAAGCTCTTTTCCTAGCATGATGGAGCTCTCAGAAGGTTCCAGAAGTTGGCCTTTAATGAAAACTGTTTGGTCTTAAGAACATTTCGAGGATTTTGAACACTATGGGAGAAAAAATTACACCTAATGTATACCCAGTTTTTTTCTCCTTTCCAATGAAGACCCAATAGAAGATTCTGTTGAAATGAAATGAGTATCAACAGAGGAATAAAATGAAGTTAAGAGTGTTATTAGACAACTGAGAGCATCATTCAACTCAGATTTCTAAAGAAGTGGGACTATTTGATGCATGAGGCGTGCACTCAGCAGGAAGACCAAGTCCTAAGTACTGGATCTTTCACTCTTCAGTTATGTGGCCCAACACAACTTAATTTGCAACCCCCCACCCACCCACACCCCAATGGGGTTACTGTGATTACATTAAATGCTATATGTAATACACACAGGTGCTCAGTAAATGTCAGCATTTGCTTTGATGAGGGCAACAAGGCATGAAGATCTATTGAACAGATGTTGTGCCAAGAATGGACTGCAGTCCCCCCATCGTGTGTCCAATACCTTGTCAAGTTCTACAAAGACGCAAATTGTGAACACATGCAACCTACAACCTTTGAAATGAGATTTAGAGCAGGAACGATTTTTGTACTCCATTTTCCCAGAATTATATAAAGAGTAAAGGAAAAAATGAGCCTGTTTTCATTCTTCCTCTCGCACTCTCTCTAAATTTGGAAATTACATTAATTCTCTTTACAGTGACTGCCTCACTAATGAGTTTACCAAGTGATATACAGTGTTGACAGTAAATATTTCATCTTAGCCATGGACTAGGTTTATTAACAGAATTTTTCACGTGTTTATTTATCGATTTCATTTCCTCAATGCCTATGATGTATCAGCAAAAGAAGACTCAGACATGAATGAACCAAATTGCAACCCCCGGGAGGGCAAAAACAAATCTGACAAAGTTCACAGAATAGGGACAACACCGAGTCACATGGGAGGCAAAGAACAAAATCTATCCTAATTGGCTGATTTGAATAAATGACATATTAATTTCTGTACCTTTTCCAATATTTCAACTTTCTCCCTCACACACACACACACACACACACAGAGAGAGAACTGGATTAGGCTAGAAACTACTACCCACATGCAGTGAATGGCTCTCAGCGCTAGAACACAGGATTCTTCTGCAAGATGGTCTGGCTATTCAGAAAAAGATTATAAATCATTTCTATATGGTCCACACGTGTGCACACCTGTGTACGTGTGTTGCAGTGTTGGCTTAGGAAACACACAAGAAATAACCTTGACCTTAGACAGCCTTGATGCGACTGATTAGCTTGCTGGGGAATGCATTCGAAGACTAAGCATCTGTTCACCTTTTCACTGTGTTCCCAGCTTCTGGTGTTAACGAGAAGCAAACAGCTCGATATATCCTAGGGTTACTATTACGTCTCCATCCTAGACTCACAGATTGGCTTCTGAAATTGAAAAAAAAAAAAAAAACGCGTTATCATCTTTTCTTCTCAGAAGGTCGAAATTAGGAGGAAAGAGAATCGAATGTGAACCAAGTCACATATCTGTTTTAGTGTGCGTGGACCGGAAGATACCGTAAGAAGAGAAACATGAACAAATTTTAAAAGAAAGAAAAGAAGATGGGGCGCCTGGGTGGCTCAGTCGCTTGAGCGTCTGCCTTCGGCTCAGGTCATGATCTCAGGGTCCTTGCTCCTCCCTCTGCCCCTCCCCCTCCACATACACCCCCAAATAAATAAATTAATATTTTAAAAAGGAAGGAATGGAGGGAGGGAGGGAGGAAGGGAACAGACAAGAAGTACAGTGCTTGAAATGGATTTTCTTATATTTTGTTAGTTCTAGGAATTATAAGTTGGCAGAGAGAGGGAAAATCTACATGATGGGGGATGTCACCTGCGGGGAAGGCAGTGGAGAAGGGGTCAGAAGGCCTGGCTGTGGGTCCCAGCTATGTCCCTGGCGTGCCGTGTGACGCTTCACAACACACCGATGGGGCTCACGTTCCTGTTCTATAAACTGGAAATCTGGGCCAAAGGATGCTTAAATAATCTTAGAGATGATTTCCAACGTCTTTTTCTGCATGTGTATGTATGTGTCTACATCTATAAATGCATATGTTATGCCTCAGCCGGGAGACTGAACCCAAACTAAAAGCTGGTTTGAACTAGTGGGACCAGGGACACCTGGGTGGCTCAGTCAGCTAAGCGTCTGCATTCGGCTCAGGTCATGATCCCGAGGTCTTGGGATCGAGCCCCGTGTCAGGCTCCCTGCTCAGCGGGGAGGCTGCCTCTCCCTCTGCTTCTGCTGCTCCCCCTCCTGCTTGTGTTCTCTCTCTTTCTCCCTCTCTCTCTTGGTCAAATAAAAACAGTAAAAAACCTTTAAGAACTAGTGGGACCAAGTGGGGCCATCCAGGGCTGGGGTGTGGGGCTGTAGAAGGAAGTCCAGGGACGTCTCTGCACAAAAGAAGGCAGTGGAACAGGGTAGAACAGCACATAGCCCAAGAGGATGGCAGCTATGGCTGTGATCCAAAGGTTACCAAAGGAAAGGCAAAGGTCACAGAAGATGCAGATGGGAGCATCAGGGGGGACACGTCAAAGGTGAGGGTTTAGCAGTTGAAGGAAGTCACTGGGCCGGGTAGCTAGGTGAGATGCAAACACAGTAAGAAGACCCTGGAAGGATGCTGTCCAGTGCCCTGGTTTAACCACAGAGAACCTATATCAGAAAGAGAAGAGATCATGCAATCAGAAGCAGGAACATGTCAATGTCAATGTCGTCAATCCATTTTCTCCCTCCCTTCCAACCTCCTTCATGATCCTTAGAAACAAAAGAGAGGCTTAGTTGTAACAGCAGGCTGTCAGCATTGCCATGATTCCCATGCAACTCACAAGCCCTCCCAAGTGGTCCCCGTCTCCCCGTCCAAGAACCAGGTCTTACAGAACCAGACAGCGGAGAGTGAGGAGGCAAAGCCAGCATCAGCAAAGGTCCAGGCCAGAGGGACTCCATGCACTGGCCCTGTCCTTCCTCAGGGCTAGGAAGCCATGGCCAAGGACAGGTGCCAAAGCCTTATGTCCCCTTCCTCCAAGACTATGTTCTCCTTCCACTGGATCCAGAGATCCTTCCCCCCGAACCTGCTTCCAGGGACTGCATAGACCTCTTCCTCAGACTGTCCCCCTAAGGGGAAACCATGCCTCCAAGTTTACCTCTCAGCCCAAGTGGCATTCCAAGAGTGCTCTGGAGGACAGCTCTTAGATACACAGACTGGGTGTCCTTATGTGTGTGTGAGACAACCGTCCCCAACAAAGGACGGGGTTGGAGATGGGACAATACGGGGCATGGGCTAGAGGCTGGGCTCAATGCTGGGGAGCCAGGAGCCATGGATGAAAGGCCTCATCCGACTGCCCAGAGTCTCACAATTCAACACTGAACCTGGCTCCTACCTTCATACCAGGGTAGACTGGTAGAACACGTTCCACCCTTTCCACAGTTGGCTTAATTGGTAAATTCTAACTTCTTAAAATATGGTATTAAGCCTCCCTTTCCACTTCCACCTTGGGCCCTGCCAAGGTTAGGAGGGGCCCAGACAGAGCAAAGCCAATCTGCAACGTTGACTTTAAATAATCAGCAGCAACAGAGGTGGTCATACCCAGAGAGTTTCTTGAACACACGCGGATTATTTTTACACATTTGAATAGAATCAACCCCACACTCCTTTATTCTCTGAGTGTATCCAGATTTCCAGTGAGTTCCAGAATAATCATTTTCTACACCGTATGTGCGTGGGGGTGTGGGGGATAGCAGGGGATGGTTAGGGTGTGATAGTTCCACAGCATCCTGAATTTTTGACCAAATTTGGCACCTTGGTAGCATTTTTTTTTTTTTTTGCTGATAACCATGTAACATTACTTAGGTTTTTTCCTCAAATGCATACAAAGAACATGACGTTTCTGAGCTCCATATTTTGCAAAGAATAGGACACTTATTCTACTATACCTACATCTGCTGGGGTTAAGGAATCTTTTTTTCCACCATCTTTTTCCACCATGGCCCAGTTGTTACCACGCACCTGACCTACCTCGATGGCTATGTCGTTATTTCTAAAATACTGTTTCAACTTCAACATCCTGATCTACGTAACAGTCAGTTTTACCCCTCATCTGGAATGCTCACGACTCTGTATTTAACTATGACCTCTCCTCTGCCTGTGGTCTGAGCTGAATGAAGCCAGTTTTGGCTCTTCTAAAACCACTTAGATACTCACCCAGCTCTGAGCACGGTAAAAACACACAGTCTGATTCAGGGCCCCCGTCCTAGTCCCAGCTCTGTCGTGACTCTGCTCACCAAGGAATCCCAGCCAGATCTCTTCCCGTCCCTGAGTCTGAGTGTCCTTGTCTGTCAGCTGAAGGGGGAAAACCTCTCCATTGGAGTAAAGTCCAAACCAAATTGGCTCAGAAAAGACAAAATGTGTGTGTGTGTGTGTGTGTGTGTGTGTGTGCGCGCGCGCGCGCACACACTCGCACACAAGTACTGTGGAGGGAAGAGGGCTGTTTCTTGTCTCGTGGAACTAAAATGTCCGGGAGTCCAAATGGCTCTAGGTACAGCCTCATCTATTACCAGGACCTCGTTTCTTCCCATTCTTTGGCTCAGCCTTTCTCCATGGCTTCATTGTCAGGCTCCAGCTTGGAGCAAGACAGCTGCTAGCTGCTTTCATCCAATATTCTCCCAAGTTCAAGTTCAGGGACAAGAAGAAATCCTTCACAACACTTAAGGCAAGCGTCCTGAGCCTATCCTTGAGCCTATCTATGAGACCAAAGAGGCAGAACCAGCTAATCTGTCAGACCTAAGCTCTGTACCCACCCCTGGAGCCTAAGAGAAAGAAAGTCAACTCCCCCCGAAACGACTTGAGTGGAAATAGAAATTCAGATGCTTTACCAAAAACAGCAAGAAATAACTAACCCATGTAGATCATGATTGCCCAGGTTACTTCTGATTCCAAATTTGCATGACTCTATAAGAAATTCTTTTGAAAATATTTAGAAATAAATGTGAAACGCTTCAATTTGTTCTCTCAAATCTTACTGAAATTAATTTAGATTCTTAAGAAGAGGAAAAGTATTTTAAATGATGTCTTTACAGATGGCCAACAGACACATAAAAAAAAATGCTCAACATCATACATCAGGAAAATGCTCATCAAAACCACAATGAGGTATCACCTCACACCTGTCAGAACAGCTAACATGAAAAACATAAGAAATAACAAGTGTTGGCAAAGATGTGGAGAAAAAGGAACCTGGTGTGCTACTAGTAGAAATGTGAGCTGGCACACAGTACAGAGGTCCCTCAAAAATTAAAAGCCGAACTACCCTATGTTCGTAAATCTACTACTGGGTATTTACCAAAAGAAATAAAAACACTAATTCAGAAAGATGGCACACCCCTATGTTTACTGCAGCACAATATACAATAGCACAAGATACATAAGAAACCTAAGTGTCCATTAATAGATGAATGGATAAAGACACACCCACGCACATGCACGCACACACTCACACACATGCACGCACAGTGGAATATTACTCAGCCATAAAAAAGGAATGACCTCTTGCCATTTGTAATGACGTGGATAGAGCTAGAAGGTATACTGCTAAGCAAAATGATTCGGTCAGAGAAGGACCAATTCCATGTGATTTCATTCATATAAGGGATTTAAGAAACAAAAGAAACGAAGGAAGAAAAAATGTAACAAAAACCCCCCCCAGATTCTTAACTGTAGAGAACAGGCTGATAGTTACTATGGGGAGAGGTGCACGGGGGAGTCCAACGCAGGGCTTGACCCCAGGAAACAGAGGATGGGGATCAAGGAGGGCACTTGTCGCGATGAGCGCTAACATATAGAAACGCCAAATGACCGCATTGTACACCAAAACTAATACAACACTGTATGTTATTTAGAACGTGATTAGGTGCTATTTGTTTTGGGAAGAGGAAAAGAAGATAATTATAAGAAGAATCAAGAATTAAAGGAGAAAGACCAATGTATCTTTTTAAATGGTCAGAACCCAAAAGAACCCATGGAATTTTTGTTTATTTGCTGCTTTTTTATTTGTGGATACTGAATGAACACCAAAAAGGCTGCGGTCCAGGATAATCCAGTGGAATGAGCGCTTGCTGTCCGCTGCCTGGATCTCTGCGGGATCCTGACCCACAGGGTTTCCTAGGACTCAGGGACCCAAGAGAGCTGCAGGTGAGCCCTGGGACATGGTGAGTGTCCTTTGTGAAAGTCACGGCTGGAAACATGGTCTGAGAAATGCATGGACTGTGGCTTCTCTGGTGGACACGGACCATTCAGACATGGGATTCTGTAGCCTGCCGTCTCTTAGCGTGATCAGACACCATTCCCCGCCCCCACCACCCCCCCACAGCCTGGGAAGCAGTTGGCAGGTGCCTATCAGCTGCCCCAAGTGCCTGGAAATAGGAGGAAGGTGGTGACTAGAAAGGCAGGTGGCCCTTTGAAAGGAATCCACACCATTCTCCCCACAGTTGTTAGGAAAGCTCTGAACTATCCCGGGCCATGATGATGGTCATACACGTCACGCAGACAGTGCCCTCGGTCACACGAGCAGGCTGTGCTCTCACGGAGCACTGCCTGAAGCAGCAAGCACTGGGAATGAGGGGTTACCGTCTTGTGTCATGCTCAGTCCCTGGCTCCTGGAATGATCCAGAAAATCACTTGGCTTCGGGTCTTGGCACCTTCCATTTCCTCTCGGGACAGTGGGCGCCTTAGATGGGTTCAGTGAGCTTCTGGCTCGCTGCTGGAAAGTTACCAGGCTCCAGTGTTCTACAGGAACTTGGATTTCATCTTAAAAAAAAAAAAATGCCTTTACACTGATTTTAGGCCCACAAGGCTTTTTTGTGCGAGGTGCTTTTCAGAACGCAAAGGCAACAGGCACACGGAGGGAGGTGCTCAGGGTGAAAAGTGGGGTGACGGCCACCTGAAAGGCAGCTCAGGAAGCTCTGGAAGGGCGTCTGGGGGAGTAAAGGGTTAGGTCCAATGGAAGACCCCTCTTGCACAGAGAAGAGCCTGGAAGTGGAAAGCCCTGTTGAAAGCCTAGGTAGGGCTCTTGACCTCTGGCGTGGCATTCACGGACAGACACCGGGCACCACCTTTCATGAAGATTGGCAGAGTCCAGAGGGCACAGTCTGGCTCCTTAAAAGAAGCATGGGACCTACATTCCCATGTTATGTTTCCTGGCCAACCTGAAAACCCTCCCAGCTACAATTAGAAGTGCTCCCTAGAATTCACGAACCATGATGTCAAACGCAAAGTGGGGCTCATGGGGAAAAGGGAGTGCACCTGTTTGCTGGGGCTGCCATTGCAAAGAACCATGGATGGGGTGGCATAAGCAGCGGAAATGTATTTTCTACCAGTCCTGGAGTCTCAAAGTCCAAGACTAAGACATCTGTAGAGCTGGGTCCTTCTGGAGCTTATCCCCTTGCCTTGTGGATGCTGTCTTCCCACTGTGTCCTCATACAGTCTTTTCTCTGTATGTGGGTCTAGATTTCCTCTTCTTCTTCTTTTTATTTTTTTAAGATTTTGTTTGTTTATTTGACAGAGAGAGAGAGCGCGCACAAGCAGGGGGAGTGGCAGGCAGAGGGAGAATTGGGCTTCCCACTGAGCAAGGAGCCCAATGCAGGACTCGATCCCAGGACCTGGGGATCATGACCTAAGCCGAAGGCAGATGCTTAACCCACTGAGACACCCAGGCATCCCCAAATTTCCTCTTCTTCTACAGATACCAGCCATACTGGATGAGGGTCACCCTAATGGCACTCACTTTAACTTAATTACATTTTTAAAGATCCCGTCCCAAAATACAATCCTATTCTAAGGATTAGGGTACTGGGACTTCAACATCTGAATTTGGGGGGATGGAGGAGAACAAAATTTAGTCTGTAATGGTTATTTCCTGGTTTCCAAAGCTAAAGCAAGACCCAGAACCACAACTGTTAGGGTCTTTGAGCTGGTGTGGCAGATGCCCTGAGTGAGGGAAAAAGGATGAACATCTCAGCCACAAGAGGCCTGGGTCTTCCTCTGAGCTAGGAGATGAGATCTTGAGCCTGAGTAAAGCAAAGTACTAGAAACAAGGTCTTCAAAGACCTGCAGCCTTTGTGAAAAGATGGGCTTGATATCATCTACTGAGTATCACACGGTGGTGAGAAGACAGTCTACATCAACCTGGAGTCTGGTAGACTAAGGGAAGGGAAGTCTTCACAAGAAGTTGTAACCCCGAGCCTGTGCCCTTGTACAGGCTCAGACTTAATCTGACACTATCCCTAGGGCCCAAGAAATTAATAATAGTAATTTTTAAAAAGAGTAATTGTATAATGATACCCTTAATTTTTCAACCCCTAGTCCAGAACATATTATGTGAGACTGTTTCTGAAATGTGGTAGATCTTGCTTATAAAATCATCTGGTCCTGGTGGACACTTGGGGTGTATATGTGTGTATATAGGGCATGTGTGTGTGTGTGTGTGTGTGTGTGTGTGTGTGTGTTTCAATTTTTAACCAAAGCTTCATGATGATTATACATCTATTAGATGTCCTGTCCGTTCTTTTTTTTTTTTTTTTAAGATTTTGTTTGTTTATTTGACATAGAAAGAGAGAGATCACCAGCAGGCAGAGAGGCAGGCAGAGAGAGAGCGAGGAGGAAGCATTCTCCCTGCTGAGCAGAGAGCTCGGTGTGGGGCTCGATCCCAGGACCCTGGGATCATGACCTGAGCCAAAGGCAGAGGCTTAACCCACTGAGCTACCCAGGCGACCCTGTCCTGTCCATTCTTGAGTCAAAACCAATTCTGACTCAGTCAGTTTGGTGGGCAACTCTTGGTTTTGCCTCAAGTCATGATCTCAGGGTTGTGGGATCAAGTCCTGCCACCAGGCTACACATCTGACACAGAGTCGGCCCGGGGCTCTCTGTCCCTCTACTTCTGCTCCTTCTCCCTGCTATTAAAAAAAAAAAAAAAAAAAAAAATTCTTTCATCAATTTTTACTTTCTCAATGAAGTTTTTCATCCAAGTTTTCACATTTGATTGAAATAGCATTATTTGTGCTCTACTGAGAGCCCTGAGCCCTGAACTGTAGCATTCATTTTTATGTCCGGTTTTCCGTTCTTACTGGTGTTTATTTTCTCCTCATTTTTGTGCATAATCTTGCTAGAAGTTCATCTTTTTCATCAATATTCTTCAAGAATTAGCTTTTAGATCCATGGGTGTTCTCTATTTTTTTTCCCACCAATTTAGGTTTTTTATTTTATGATTCCTTCCCACACTTATAATGGGTTTACCATTTTCCTGTCTTCACATACAGGCAATAGAGTCTCCAATGCAATGCCGAGCTACGGCATGACAGCTACCACAAACAACACACACGTCGATCAATGGGCAAAACTGTGTTCCAACTGAAGTTTGTTTATAAAGCAGGCAGCAGACTGAACTCAAGTGAGCACTCCATAGTTTGCCAAACCTTGTTCTAGATGATGGGACAAGAGGAATACCTCTGCAACTCACCTCAGGAGACTTTTCTTACCTTCATCCCCCAAATCAGGCCAGGGTAAAGAAAAGGTTAATGTCACTTGCGAATACAGAAGTAAATATCCTATAGAAGACATCAGGAGACGGCACACAGCAATACTGAAAAGTAATCGCACAACACATTGAAACAGGGCTTGTCCCAGGAAAGTAAGGGCCAACTAACACTAGAAAAATCTATTAAAATTTTCAGTATAATCTCAATCAAATTCTCAACAGATTTTTTTCAAATGGAAATGTAGTTGACACATAATGTTTTGTTAGTTTCTGGTGTGTAACATAATGATTCGACGAGCCCGTACATTACGCTCTGCTCACCACCAGTGTGGCTGTCATCTGTCCCCATACAATGCCATCACCATACCACTGACTCTCCCCTATGCTACCTTCCATTCTCATGACTTATTCATTCCATAACTGGAAGTCTGCACCTCCCACTCCCCTTGACCCACTTTGCCCATCCTTCCCCACTCCCCACCCCTCCCCTCTAGCCCCCACTAATTTCTTCTCTATATTTATAGGTCTCAACAGAGTTTTTCAAAAAACTTAATCCCCAGACTCACTCGGTAGGCCAAGAATAGCCCAAATTGTTTCTAAGGGAAAGACTATGTGAGCCCATTTTTTATAAGTATCAACTTACTAGGAGAGTATAATGGAACCAATATAATAATGGCTCAGGGAGGGGGTGCCTGGGTGGCTCAGTGGGTTAAAGCCTCTGCCTTCAGCTCAGTTCATGATCCCAGGGTCCTGGGATTGAGTCCTGCATCGGGTTCTCTGCTCAGCAGGGAGCCTGCTTCCTCCTCTCTCTGCCTGCCTCTCTGCCTACTTGTGATCTCTGTCTGTCAAATAAATAAATAAATAAATCTTTAAAAAAAAAACAAATAATGGCTCAGGGAGCCCACATGCAGAAGGGAGCTGGCAGGTGACAAAGTAGATATAACAAATCAAACAGTGAAAAAAATACACTGTTCCATAAATGGTGGTGAAAATTTTGGTAATTCATATAATGAAACACAAAAGTAGACCTCCAACTCACACATATATGTCAATGTCTTAAATATAAGAATCCAATCTCTAAAATTTGAAAAATATCTTTATGACTTCCGGATGAAAATTAATTTCTTAAGCAGAATACAAAAAGCCAAAAAACTATAAGGAAAATTATGTATAGGACTACACAGAAATGAACTGCTTTATCACAAAAGGCACAACGAACTAAAAAGGCAAGCCTCAGACTAGAAGAGGACATTAATAAGATATATGCCAAATAAACATTTATGAAAAAAGGCATACAATCCAAGAGAAAAAGGTAAAATTAATAACAACTGGGAAACCACAGAAGAGAACATCCAAATGGCCAATGAATATATAAAAGAAATTATTAGGAAATTCTAGGGTGCCTGGGTGGCTCAGTCAGTTAAGCGTCCGCCTTTGGCTCAGGTCATGATCCCAGGGTCCTGTGATCGAGTCCCACATCAGGCTCTGTGCTCAGCAGGGAGCCTGTTTCTCTCTCTCTCTCTCTCATAAATAAATAAAATCTTTAAAAAAGAAAGAAATTCTAAATTTTTTTTTAAAGATTTTATTTCTTTATTTGATGGACAGAGATCACAAGTAGACAGAGAGGCAGGCGGGAGGGGGAGGTGGGGAAAGCAGGCTCCCTGCTGAGCAGAGAGACCAATGCAGGGCTTGATCCCAGGACCCTGAGATCATGACCCTAGCAGAAGGCAGAGGCTTAACCCACTGAGCCACCCAGGCACCCCTAAAAAACAAAGAAATTCTATTCATTGAAAATCCATACAGCTATTAAAATGAATGAAATTAGCAAAGTAAAACAAAACTTACACTCATCAGAGTGGCAAAACATTAAAATGTCTAACAAACCTAGTGACTGATGTATCTTTCAAGAGGTACAACTTCTAAAGTCATGCCCTGAGAGTTCTGGGGCACCTCAGAAGGGGAGAGTCCAAGAAAAGGGGAACTCTCCCAAAAGGTAGCAACTGGTAGACAAAGTTGACCTATTTCACCACTGTATCTAGCTTGGCACCAACCACTTACCAGCTCTGGAACAGCAACTCTTTCATGCTGTGAGTGGAATGTGAATTGGTTGAAACTCTTCGAAGAAGAACTGGGTAATACCCAGTCAACTTGAAGAAAGATGTAGAAGATAGACAGACAGACACATGGATATGTACATACATACATAATGACAATCCACAATAACCAGAAACCTATCATCTCTTTTTTTTAATTTCTTTTCAGTGTTCCAGAATTTATTGTTTATGCACCACACCCAGTGCTCCATGCAATACGTGCCCTCCTTAGTACCCACCACCAGGCTCATTCCCCTCCACCCCCGCCCCTCCAAAACCCTCAGATTGTTTCTTAGAGTCCACAGTCTCTCAGGGTTCGTCTCCCCCTCCAATTTCCCCCAACTCCCTTCTCCTTCCCATCTCCCAGTGTCCTCCGTGTTATTCTTTACGCTCCATAAGTAAGTGAAACCATATGATAATTGACTCTCCCTGCTTGACTTATTTCACTCAGCATAATCTCTTCCAGTCCCATCCATGTAGCTACAAAAGTTGGGTATTCATCCTTTCTGATGGAGGCATAATACTCCATAGTGTATATGGACCACATCTTCCTTATCGATTCGTCCGTTGAAGGGCATCTTGGCTCTTTCCACAGTTTGGTGACTGTGGCCATTGCTGCTATGAACATTGGGGTATAGATGGCCCTTCTTCTCACTACATCTTCTACTCCTATCATCTATCCTACAAAAATGTTCACATATATTTACAAAGAAAGTGTTTCTTTGAGCTCATTACACATAAAATAGGAAAACTGGAAAAATCTGCCAAGGAACCAGACGACAGATAAACCAACTCAGTTGTACAATGAAATTTTTTACTGCTACCAAAATGAAAAAGAGTTGCATGAATCAAGAGGAAAAGACCTCAAATACATGATGTCAGATGCAGAAAGCAAGTAGCAATAGGACAGTATCCCTAAATACATAACTGTGTAATAAAAGCATAAAAACATACTCACGAAAGATTTAAAAAAAAAAAAAAGCACTTCTGGGATAGGAGGAAAATGGGAAGTGGAGGTTAGGATTTTGATCCATTCATCATGTCTTATTTCCTACAAAGTAAAAAATAAAAGAGAACAAGAACATTGAGTAAATATATCAACAGCTTAACAGCTTGTTTAATCTTGATGAGTATATGGTATGCACGTTATTTCTTTTGACTTTTTAGCATGTTTGAAACACTCCATAGTTTAAATTAATTTTAAAGGGAGCCTGGGACCCATAAGTGAAGTTTTAATTGCAAAGTCCCTTACTGAAGAATTAGGAGGTACAAACTTCCATTTATAAAATAAGTAAGTCACAACGATCAGAACTGCAGCATCTACTGGAGTCTATCTGACCTGCAGGAGCTCTTTCTCCAAAGGTGTGTCATTCTCTGCTGTCGGGGCGTGCACCTGCTCTAGAACCCCAGGGGCTGGCCAGAGACTATGCAGTAAGGTCACTAGCCAGAGGTCTCCAATACAGTCACACCTGCTGGCTCATACAACCCAAGAGAACAGGGAACTGTTCTACAGCTTAGATATGCTGCAGAGCTTTCTTCTGAATTGGACCCCCCCAGGAAACTGTCAGCCTCCTGGTTTCTGATTAAAAAGTGGGACTTGTATTCCAAAGTCCAGCATATATCGCTTCCAAGATCCAAAGAGTCCTACTACGCGCTCTGCCTCTTGCTTAGTGATAAGGAGGTCTGAGGGACGATAGTTTTACTTTAGAGGGAATGTCCTGGGCCATCGAGTCCCTGCAAACGTCCCTGCAAACATTCCTGATGTGGCTGCCAATCCTCTGCATATATCTATCTTCCTAGAGCATCTTGGGCGCCTGTCACTGACTGCACATCAAGTTGTTAGGAGGACGTTCTCGGTTTAGTGAATCAGCCTGATGTCCTGTAGGTTGTCAAGGTGATCCATCCTTTAGACCACGCTTTGGAGGAGACTGGGAGTGTGAATATCGTCCTAAGGTAAAAAGGGATTCTGGACCAGTTCCCGGGCAAAGTAAAGTTAATCTTCACGCATAAGGGTGTGGACATCTTTGGGGGGAGCATTAGTCTGCCTTCCACAATCCTAATCCCAAGACTTCCTGCTAAGAGTATTCTGTAAGTAAGGACTCTCTTCCTCCTAGTAAATGGTATTAGCCTATCCACCAGGAAGATGGTCACCAGCAGCTATAAGCAGATGAGTCTGGGTCAGTGTCTTCCTCCCTTTGAGTAACTGGGATAGAAACAGAAGATGGGCCAGCTGCTGTAAATGCTTCCTTCCTGGATTGATAGGTTTTTACATCCTAGGAATCAGAAATTGGAGGACTCAGCTGTCAATTGTGGCATCTGATATCTTTCTATTATATTTATCACTTTTATTCTCTAAGAGAATAAAAGACCCCACTTACTCTGAGTCCCTTAACCTATCCATCAGCTCTGTCCACCCCCCCCATCTACCCACCCACCCATCCATCTACCCTTTAATTTGTACATCTACATAAATTCTCTCTTATGAATTATTTAAAACTATGCACAGGGTCTTTAGATAAAATGTTGAGCATAGTTTTTTTAAGATTTTATTTATTTGTCAGAGTGAGAGTCAGAGTGTGCACAAGCAGAGGGGAGCAGAAGGCAGAGGGAGAAGCAGACTCCCTGCTGAGCAGGGAGCCTGATGTGGTCTCAGTACATCATCAATGTCTCCTCCCTACCGGATCAATCCCAGCATATAAACAGGCTGTCACATCTCCCATCTTTACAAAAAGCAAACAGCGCTTTTATCTGGGCGATGAGACCTTTTTAAAAGATCTTTACTTTTTTGCTTTCTTTCCCCTGTATTTTTTAAATGAATGCTTTCTATAGAAGGAGGAGGAGGAGGAGGAGGAGGAGGAGAAGGCAGAGAAAAAGAAGGGAGCGAAAAGAAAAAGAAGGAAAAAATGCATCACCTCAGAAGAATTCTGCGGGATACAGGATATGACCAATGATTTCTGTTTTCTTTCCATGCCAGACATTCCCTGGGCTCCTCCACTCATTCCCCCAGCCTGCCAAGACTCTGACTCTCAGAACCTTCTTGCTGCATAGAACATTCACAGAGAACATCAGGAAATGGAAGAGAGACACAGGGTAGTAGTCACTTCCCTTCTGACGGCCCCTATTCCTAATCCACAGTGGCAAACAGAAGACCTTCATCACCAGCTGCTCCTTCTCCCCGTCCAGTGGCACGCTGTCCTCATTCGATACCTCATTCCATACCCTCCTTCCTCCTTCCTTCGAAACCAGATAGATATTTCCTATAGACATGCCTTCATATATATTTCACGTATATATGAAATCACATATACATAGAGATTTTTACATATATATGATTTCAACTAATTTACATCTCATTAATTTCAGATAAATTCTATTTACCACCATCCAATTCAATGAATTCTCTCTCCTTAGGTTTACAACCTAACACTCTGACACATCTACCCCTTGAAGGGAAAAAAAAACAAAAAACAAAAAAACAAAAAAAAACGCCTTTCCCAGGGTTAATTTTGCAAATCTAAAGCGAAAATGTTTTCTAAACGGGAACAAATTGATTTCTTCATATTTCCATTTCCGTAATGGACATCAGCTGCTGTTTTATGCACACTTTAATTCACAAAGGCATTGCTTGGGGGAGGATTGCTTTCACCAACTGCCAGTCCTGAAATCAAGCGTTTCTGCTTCATTTGAACAAGGATCAGGGCTTCTGGAGTCTTCCTAAATGTTTTACTGTAGGTTGAACAGAACCCAAGGTAGAGCCAATAGACTGGTTACTGTAGAAAATTCTGAAGAATGTCAGCCTGTCACCGGCCCCACACTTGTTATTCTGCTAGAAGTCTATTTGCTGTCAGTCTTCCCGGGGATAGAATTGCTTTTGGACAAAACAAGTCAGACAATAGCCTGCTGGCCTGAAGGATCCTGCTGTCAATAGCCACTCTGGGCCACACAGAATGTCACCTCTTAAGGAAACAAACAATAGTCTGGAGAGCAGAGGTGACGGCATGCCCTACTTTAGTGACATTTTTTTTCCTAAGATTATTGGCTAAAATTTCAGGTTTCCAAAAAAAAAAAAAAAAAAGCCTGCAAGGTAGGAATGCTTCAATGTTTTTGACTGCCTGCATTTAATTCGCTTTAATTTAAACTCAGAAAAAAAGAAAGTTTCAGGAGAAACTTGGAACCTTACACAATACGCTTTCGGGGGCAAGAAATGGTGTCCTCGCCACATGCCTCAGAGTCTGTGTCCAGCGGGAATGCTTATTCCAAATACAGGGCCAGACACATTCTCATGTAAAACACCAGAGGAAAATGCCTACAAGGTCTCCAGGTTCCTTATTAAAGGCAAAGCATCAATTACAATTCAGTTAATCAACAGGTATGAATTGAACACCGGCCATGTGCCTAGCCTGAGGAGTTGGAAGAAACAAAGCTTGGAGTTGGACTTGAATCAGAAACAGCCAGGCGCGTCTTTATTCCAATGCCAGCCACTGCAGGGGAGAAGAGAGAGCCGCTCCGATTCCTCCCCTCCCAGAAGTTGAAGGAATATAGTTATATATCTGGAGAGCAAAGAAGGGAAAGGGGCAGGGGAAATCTAGAGAGTTAGGTCATGTACACCCTACTTATAAGGTGGCATTTCTACTTTCTGAAATTCTACTATTCCTTACAGTACGCACATATTATTATTCCAAATAAATATAGCATGTTCTACAAACTTTGGGGTTTAGGATAAGCCTCAGGGCCAAAGGGCTACCTTCTCCAGTTAAGACAGAGACAAACTGACCTTAGGAGTCTTGACTCCTCTGCACTGAATGTCGGCATGGGGAAATTCTCTAACTTAGGATAAGGGACCAATTTAATCGTATCTAAGGCCTCTTTGGCCTAATTAATCAATTAATATTATTTGAGTTTAGCTCACTAAGTCAAAGAGGCTCTTCAACCTCTCCCACTCTTGTCAAAAAGGTCATCAAAAGCACACTACCTGAAGACACAAAGCAATGTATTCCCAGGCGATGGCTTCCCTTGCAAATCTC